AGTAATATACTACTGTAATATTATTACTTTTGTAATGCGTTACTCCCAACACTGTTTATCTGTCCATCAGATGCGTGTCAAAGTTGAGTTCGTTACTATAACAACAGTAGATCAAACAATCATTGTAAAAAAAAAAAAACTTTGTCGAGATCACGAGAAAATTAAGTCGTTATAACGAGAAAACAACTCCCGTTATGTCGAGATAACGAGAAAATTAAGTCGTTATAACGAGAAAACAACTCTCGTTATGTCGAGATCATGAGAAAATTAAGTCGTTATAACGAGAAAACAACTCGTTATGTCGAGATCACGAGAAAATTAAGTCGTTATAATGAGAAAACAAGAAGAAAAAAAATAAATAATGCATGGCCTCTTAGAACTTCCGTAGTATTCTTTAAAAAAAAAAAGTATTTTTTTTAACGAGGCTTTTTTACTTCATTGTGATATCTTGACCTTTTTGATTATATTTCCATCAAAAAATATCAAAATGAATTTTTGATCCAGAAATGAAAAGCATGCTCATCATAGAAGAGGTGTAATCAAATTTGTGTACAATCATGTCACTGACCCCTTTATAAAAAGCAAAACAGCATAACTGGAATAAGTGCAAATTTGATATGCTTAAATTACCTGGAAGTCCTTTGGCCCACTTCACTACCTTGACAAGTTGCCTCTCTCCCAACTCGTTAAGGCTGGTGAGGAGAGCAACTGCTGAGTCAGGCTGAGCGTGATCATGGCCGGCGTTCACCACCTCGGGCTCGATGGCCTCCAGGATGTTCAGGAAGATCAACTGTGAGTGGAACGTCAGGCTTGGCTTGGGCGACATGCACTGGACTGTCTCTGATGGGCCCTGAACGGGACCAACCTCCTCCGGACCTTTCATCTGTCCAATCTTCCTCAGCTTGCGGGCTGCAGGACAGAACAAAAGCAATATACTGTAATAAACAGAGTGGGAGTACTGCTTTGTAAATTCAACCTGCGCAAAAACACATTATTAATCTGGAACACTTCTTTATTTTATCTAGCACATATTATTTAGGAGGCAATGAACCAGGTGGTCTCTGAATAATGAGGTTGGCATGATCTTATTTTAGCTCTTGAATATCTCTATTATACAACAGAATATAAAAGCTGCACTGCGACGGCTAGTCTCTCCGCCACATTATCTCCTGCCTGTCAGCACAAAGAAAGATTACTGGCCACAAAACACACCTGAGACAACGTATTTTTTCCTCAGCTGCCACTACAACAAAGAACTTTAGATTAGCGTAACTGTGTTGATATATTTCAGTAAGGTGGAGCAGAACAACAATCATTCAAGGATGCAAAACATGCATTGTTCACCTAATACTTGCGGATGTACATTCTTGCACCAGAAACACCCGTTAACTATGCACAACAGAGGAAAACCATCTGTATTCTGAGGCTGCTGCTAATAAAGTGAATTAAATGAAGATGTAAATATGAGTGTGTGCGTGCATGTGCTTTTATTAGTTGCTACAGTAGAAACAGTTTTGCTTCTGCTCCAGCGAGTGCCTGTGGTTTTGTTATGATGCCTAACACTCACAGTTTCCACTCTGAATTATAAATCAGAGATGCTCATTATTCAATGGGCAGCGTTTGGGTGAGGAATGAAAGACTTTTTACAACTCGCAGACTTTAATGGCGCATTACGAACACTGATCCAAAATGTAAAAAACAAGTTCTATTAAGAAAAAAAAAAAGAATAATCTGTGAGGCAGCTGATTTAAAATGCCTAAAAAGCTCTTCGTTGCTGGCTAAGAGGACAAACACGAAATGAAAATGAATCAGCCCTCTGAGATCCCCACAAAAAGGAGGCTCCAATTTTGCTGACGAGAGACCGGAGCCTCTCTGCTTGTGGTCTAAAATGAAGTGTGGTAAAGAGATAGAGAAGGGGAGAGAGTGAAATTATAATTTTATCCTGAGATGGTTTATCAAAAGCCTATGGGTTTGCGGTAAACTTGTGGCAAGGTACCAAAAACACCACCACCGAGATTCTCTCTTCAAAATACACATAAACCTGCCTGTGACGAGTGGGGCGGGGCCGAGAGCCGTGGGAACGGAGTGAGGCCGGTGGAGTAAATGCTAATGCACGACACCTGCGCCACTCACCGGTCTCGAGTCCCACGGAGGAGCTCCGGAAGCATAAAAGGAGGAGTGACGACAGTGTTGGACGAGAGAGGACCAGGCCTGGATTTTATTTTGTGTTTTGTGTGCGGCAGTCGTCCGCGAGGGGCTGCCGCTTTACTTTCATCTTGTGTTTGTTTATTTTATTAAAGTTTTGTTTAAATGTTCGCCGGTTCCCGCCTCCTTCTTCCCGAACTATGAACGTTGTTACAATATACATGCATGGAAATGTTTTTAAAATATGTTCACACACATTATGTAAACAAAAACTTATATTTTGGATGCGATTAATTGCGATGAATCATTTGACAGCACTAGTAAAAAATATAAATAATTCTGAAGTTGCTGGTTTGAAACAAAAATA